AGAATAGGTATTATACGATAAAGAAGTAAAAATTAATAATATTTTAATAAAGACTATAAAAAGGGCTATATTATCTTTAATATTTATACTTAAAGACTAACTTCTTTATAAGATATAATAGTTATTACTAAAAGACCTTCCTCTCCTTTATATAACGGCTTTTATATAGCCTAGACTAGACTACTTTCCCTTAACTCTATAAAGCTAGAGACTAAGTTCCCTAGACTTCGTAACTCCCTTTACTTAAATACGCTCGAATATAGCTTTTCGAGACAATAAGACCTTTACTATACTTAAAGCCTTTAATATATAGGTAGCTACCTTAATACCTAAAGCCTTTAATATATAGGTAGCTACTTTAATGCCTAAAGCCTTTAATATATTATTATTTACTATAGCCCCTTAACGTTTAACTTAATAAGTTACTCGACTTAACTATAAGTAGCTTTATATAGGTAAGTAGACTATAAGATTAGATATAAACCTCTTTACGATATATTACGAGATAAATAGCTTTAATATAGAAACCTTACCTACTTAAGCCTTAATTATTTAAGAGGCTCGTTACTTTATATACCTTATAATACTTCGAACTTAAAGAGTTATTAAAGCTCTTCTAGAATATTAATCTAAATAGCTACCTACGATATAGCGAGAGATCGATTAACTATATTAAAAATAGGCTTAGTAGCTTATTAAGAGACCTTATAATTTTTTACTAAAAAATACCCTATATTTAGTCCCTTATTAATAAAGGCCCGTTAAGTTATTTAAGGAGATTAAGACTATATACCTTAACCGGTTAAGTCCCTATATATAGCTATAGCTAACCTTAATAGCATTAAGACCTTCCTATCTCTTATAGTAATCCTTAACTATAAATACCTTTAATATAATTTTACTTTAGCCTTCCTTAACGTAAAAGCTAAAGAATGAATCTATATTTAATAACTTAATAGCTTTAATAATAGATTAGGCTATATTTACTTACTTTAATAAGCTCTTTATAGATATTAAGGCTTATTAATTTAGTAATTCGAGATTATTTCCTTATCTCTTAATAAAATAAGATTTAAATAGCTCTTATACGAGCTCTATATCTTTTATTACGATAATAATACCTTATTAGTCTTATATATAGACGATATAATAGTTAGATCTCTAATTATAGCTTAGATCTAGAGTAAAGTTACTTACCTTTATAATCTCTATAAAATTAAAGGCCTAAGAGAGCTTAAGGAGTTCTTAGGTCTTAAGATCGTTAAGAATAGAGCTAATTATATAATTTAGGTCTATTAAGCTAAGTATATTATTAAGATTATCGAGAAATTTAATAAAGGTATCGCTAACTTTATTTTTACTTTATAGCTTAATAAACTCGAGATCTTAGTAAACTAAAAGATAATACCTACTATAATAAAGCTAGAAAAGTAGCTATTACGAACCGGTAGCCTTAACTTCCTCTCTTAAGGCATTAGACTTAATATTACCTTTACGGTTAATAAGCTTTATAAAGTTAATATTAACCTTATAGAATACTACCTCTTTATTTATAAATACCTCTAGCGATACCTTCTTAATACTATCTCTTACGGTATTGTCTTAAGTAATTACTATAATCTATCTAACGTTAAGCTCTATATCTATATAAATACCTCGTTTATTAATAATTACTTTATTTATTAGTTTATAGCTAGCTATATTATCTTTATTAGCGATAGACCTATTTTCTAGAAGTTTAAGAGATAGACTATTATAATATCCTTAATTATAGAAATAGAGTTTATTAACCTAACTTTAATAAGCTTATTAACTCTATAGAAGTCTAACTTCCTCTATAATATAAGACTCTTATAGATAAAACCTATAATACTTTTTATAGACTCTTAGAACGTACGTTTAACTATTCTTAACTATAATAATAATAGCTATACCCGCTATATTAATATACGCTTTAAATAGATTATTAACTATACCGAGAAAGGCGATTTTAACGTTATTTAAGTATTTACTAATATAATAATTATAGATAGCTTTATAAAGCCTCTCGAGAGATTTAAATATAATAATTTCGTCTATTAGCTTTACTTTAAAGACTAACCCTTATTATAACTACCGGTCTTACGATTTTCCGACTCTAATCGAGCTACTAGGCATATAAATACCTCTCTTTCTTACTTAATTTTCCTCTCTTTCTTTTTCTCTCTTTACTACTAGTTCTAATGCTATCTATACTTCGTCTTATAACTCTTTAATACATAAGTATTAAAGAGTTATAGGACGAAGTCTATGAGGCCTTTTAGGGCTCTATCTACTAGAAACGAGAGAAACGAAGGAAACCGGGGAAATTAAGGAAACCGGGAAAACCGGGGAAACGAGGGTAACGGCGGATATAAGAGATATGGAGAGATATAGCGGAAAATATAGAGAATATCATTATAGGGGATATAACGTAAGAGATATCGCAAGAAGCTTTATATTAAGCTCGGCTAAGGGGTAGTATTATATGCATTAATTAGCCTCCCTATTGCCCTTATAGGTCCGTCTCTACGGACCTATAGGCTAGCTAGCCTTCTTCCCTTAGTATCGTTATATCGAGCTCTTTTGCCCGTTTTCTCATGCTCGATCGGTATCCGCATGATTTAGAGGACTACGTAAGGAGCGGACGTCAAATTCATGATAAGGATCTCTTCATGGACTCACTTGAGTCAGCAATTCGCCATCTCCATTCTCTCAGCTAGGCTCATATCGACCTCAACCCCACGAACGTCCTCGTAGCAGAGGATCAAACTCCCATTCTAACCGACTTTAGCTCCGCACGTAGAATTGGGGAGGAGCTATCGACTAGCCGTGGCACGGAAGGCTGGATCAATTGCGAGATGAAGGACTATACGATGTCGGAGACCCAGCATGTCATTTCAGCTCTTAGCAAGTTTCGTGCGTGGCTCAATGACTCGGCATTCGAGGATTGAGCAATTTATGTCATAGTTGGCAACTTGAGAACAACTCGACGAGTTGCGCTTCATTACTTGTCCAGACATAATAACAATGTTACAGTTGCTGGCCGTCGTAGACGACATTATGACGGTCAATGATTGGTCCATAGTTGATAATGTATTTGCACACCGCAATGAATTCAGTCATATGTCCACCCCTTGCGATGTGGAACAGCAAATCCCATTGTTGGTCCAAAAAAACAACAGCAAGGAGTCCAGAACGAACGTCAGCTCATCTGGTCAAAGACTCGCTAGATCGCCTGTGTGGCTCTCTAGTACTGCCAATAGCTCTGACGGCCGTAATGACGTCCCTAGACAGTTCGGGCATACTGATCTTTTGCTGTTCATCCAATATTATCGACTGCTCAGAACTGTAAGAAAAGGACAGATTTCTGACCGAGGGAATGGCGAGCGTGAGGAGAGTACAATTTAGTTAGATTATATTTGACCCTGATTCTCAAAATAGTACTTTCCGAGTTATGTGGCGCACCGAGCACCGAAGCCTCTTGCATTCCCCTCCTGGCTCAGAGTCGTGACCCTTGGTCGGAGAACCACGCCGTCAGCTGCTTCATCCTACCTTCTGATTCCAAGATTTCTTCAGAGGGTGATCCATCGGCAGCACGCCGGAATGCTAATCGGAGAATTGCACCAATCTGACCAGCAGCTTCAGCCAGACTCCGTGTTCTGCTCCGAACTTCGTCCCCGTCGATCCCGGAGACAGCCCAGAACTCTTCCCAAAAGATGCGTTGTAGCTGCTGCTTACATGTATAGTCATGCCAGCCGTCTTTGGTCATGAACCCTGTAGTCAAGAAGAGAATGTCCAAATCCATTCCAAAGGGCATGAATGCGGCCCGAGACCAATCAACGATGCCGGTTATTTCGAACTGGTCCTTTCGTAACAGAGAAGTCACCATGCGTGAGTACTTGCGGGTACTCTTGACTGAATAGCGAGGGAAGATCCTCAATGAGACTGGATAGCAGCGAATCCGGCAGGATAGATGATATTGGCTTTTGTGCTAGCTGAGAAAGCCTTTCGCGGATTTTTTCTTGTTGGTCCGCCTGAGGTTGGCGATGCACTGACAGAGAACTGGACCAACATCGCGCAAAGTACCTGGTAGCTATGAGCAAGAAGGCTTTTGAACATTCTGGGCTGATGGGAGATGTACTGAGCCAGGTGCTTAACGAAGACTTCATGTTTGACCTCTTCGTCGGGATCCATCTCGGCCTGAGAAGCCAGGACTTCAATGCAGGATGAACATCGCAGGTATGGCATGGAGTAGATGTGCAGCGGCGGATCAGCTCCCTTCAAAATGCCATGGTAGGTCGACTCTGGCACAAGGTCCCCATGAATCTCCTTGGCCAATTTTACCATTCCCTCGTCTAGCCTGGCATCTGGTTGTCTGAAGGAAACAATCAAATCCTGTGGCCGAGGGCAACCACTGCAGACAACGGTGTAGCTCATCGAGCCCGGGCTATCCACGAGGCAAACTACAGACGCACCGGAAATAGCTTGAGCAATCTTGTCACATTGATAACCAGATGGAGACTTGCGGCCGCGGAAAAAGCGGCCCGCTGCCTCTTAGGCCCAAGAAGATTGAGTCATCATAGAAAAGTGCAGTATTTTCTCGTATCGGCGAGCATTGTAGGTTGCAGCGTGCAGAGCCGTCAATTCTTGTGGCGTAAAGGGGCCCCGTGCATGCTTGGCCCCGTGTATCGAGTGGCTCCCCCGTTGCCTCTTTGGCTGACCAACAACTAATGCAACAACCAACAGGCATGAAATCAGGCAGCAACCCTTCAATCCAACGAGGTATACTCCGTGGGTTGGGATAGAGTTACCCCTTTTCTCTTGCTGCTACAGTTTGGCCCCCCATCGCTCTATGGATATAAAGGGACGGGCGATCCTCCTCAGCACCAGCCCAACATATGAACTTTGGTCTTCCTTGTTTCGCGAGAGCCGTGCTACTTGCGACTTCCAACCAAGTGACTTCTATCACCCTAAGCAACATGGCCTCCATCCAAACTCTTCCAGTCGTGGACATCCCTGGTCTCCATCATGCGCCCGATGCTGAAGAATTTGCCGACTCTCGAAACATATATGCCCAGTACTCCCCATAACCCTCAGAGATATGTGCTGACAGTAACACTGATAACAGCTCAAACGGACTTCCTCAGCCTGAGGACCAGCCGGAGCTCTCTGACAGTACGCTCAAGGCTTTGGGCGAGCTTTTTGTTCGCCACAAGGCGCACGACACCTTTGGCATCCATTTCCTGCATGCTCATTTTCAGATCTCTGATGAGTTTGTGTTGTACGGAGAGCAAGTCCAAGTTTCGGGCAACTTTGAATCATGTTGGACCCAACCTGTTCCGGTAAGAACTGGCAAGCAAGGCTATTCATGGCCATGTCTTTCGCTTACAGTCCAATGAAACCTTCGTCCCGTATGAGTTCCAGGAAGGCGCGCCACCGCCTAAAGCAGTCACTGTCCCCCAAGAATTCTTTCAGGACCTTGCTCAGTTCTTGCACTCGAACAACCTTGCAGACTTGGTTGCACTACAGCTCCTAGGTGGCCAGAGCGAGGGGACTAGCACGGAGCTCCTCATTGGGCCACAGAGCACCCTCACGTTAGACACGAACGATATACTCGGATTTGAGCCTGCAAAGATTACCACAGGCTGGCTCTTCCAGGTTGGAGATGATGGTGTTATTTCCTGCAAGGGCAACGACGTGTATTCTAAGAAGAAGAACACGCACCAAGTCTTTACCGACTCAAAGCCTCTTACCCTAGAGGCTTTGAAAGCGGCTCTTCGCCAGGAAGGAATTATCGCCTAGAGACGCTTACCTATAGTTAGGCTTTATTAAACTCTAGTCTGGGAGTATTAGCGTTAGTATTATAGTAATTTATATAATAATTAACCCTTATTAAGAGGAGTTATATTAAGTATTATATTGGGCGAAATAAAGTATTTATATAATACCGGCACGACTGAGTCTGGGGTGTTTCGGATGTAAGCCGGACAGTGTTGGGCTCAGAAGCTCCATACACAGAATGCCCCCGCCAGGAGCACCGTACGCCATCAACTGATGCACCATCAGCACATACACTTTAGTGGAGGCAGAATGGAGTGCAGCATTGCCCTTCCATAGACTGGCTTCCAGTATTCACCAACCACTCGAAATCGCGGCGAAGGTCGGCCAGTCGATCCTTGTGTGTCCAGAGCGTAAGGGTTAGGGAGACCATCTCGAAACTGATGACAAACAGCTCGCCATTATCGGCCCGACCACGTTGCAGCATCAGCCTCTCTGCCAAGAACAAGTTCTGGAGGTGGTCAAGCTCGGTCAAGAGCCTCGCGTATATGATACTGGTGGGAACGGCCGGGTATGTGATGTCTCGAGAGTTGTGAAGGAGCGAGGGCGGAAACTCCGTCTTGGCAAGTATCTGGCGCCCCCTGAGAGTTCTTGTTGCACAAATCAACAAACGTGAGGTGTGGTGCTTAATGTCTGGAGATACCACTCACACGAGGGACTCAAGTGAGGTATGCTGCGGGCCGCCCAGAGCTATTTCGACGAGCTCATCTCGGATGAACGCAGAGACGGTGCGGGCGCGAAGAAGCGTGGCCGAGTAGACCTCTCCCTTTGTGTTCCAGCCCTTGGAGTCCAATGACTGGACGGCACGGGCCAGGGTTGCCTTGTCTGCGAGCAAGTCCTCATCGCTTAGATCGAGCGGCAGCGGCGTCGAGACATATCTTCGACCAGTGAGCGGCGGCCGCCCCGTGAAAACAACGAGGACCTTACCCCGACTGAACGTTTTGGCGGCCAGCCTCCGCCTGTGCTCGGACGCGAGAGTAGGACGGTCTGATGCCGCATTTGCTTCTGCGCGAAGGCCGAGAAAAGTCACCAGCGCCAGCGACTCGGCATGGAACCTCCAACAGCAAGCGCCTAGTCCACCAAGGTGCGTCAGCTGCTCCACGACCTACGTGGCACGAGACATGGCTGCAGCTTGGCAACTTACTCGCGTCACCGGCAAGTACCGATTCGACCACGGTCCGCCGCAGACATGGAAGGAGGATCAGGCTAGAGCCGCGACAGGTCGATGCAGAGGCCAAGGCACACGCGGGACACCCTGCGCCACTCGTCTGCTTCCGGGCTGTTCTTGTCATGCCCCCGGATGCCCATCTCGTTGAAGCTAAACAAGAGCCCGATGGACTCCCAGCGCAGGTTGGCGCCGGTGAACTGGGCGAGCCATTCCTCGGGATCGGCCAATTCCTCGCGGAAGGGCCGGGCGGTGTTGGTGGTGAGAAAGCGAGCCAGCTGTTGGAGACGCGCATGAGACCGAGATGAGCCGAGGGGCGCGCCAAAGAGTTCACTGAGCGAGGCGAGAACGCGGCGGGCTGCGGTGCGAACCCAGCCGTCATTTCAACGTGGGGAGTCGTATGCAGAAATGTTGTCGACGGACGGGGTCGGGAGGCTACGCAAGACGACCAGCCACATGTCGCGGGCCGGGGAGGCCAGGAGCTCTGAATCGTCCCACGGCTGCTGGGCATCCTGTCTGTCGGACCCCTCCGGTAGCAGCCAGGAGGGGAAGTCCTGGAGGATGGACAGGCAGCTGCGGGTCTCGGCGTAGACAGCGGAGTGGCTGGTGAGGCCCAGGTATCCAGGCCTGCCGTCGACGGTGTTGAGAGGCGCAACGGGATCCTCGGGAGTCCGCAGCGCGGGAGCAGCATCTGCAGCAGGCTGGCTCATCAAGGGCAGATGGCGGCGGGACCGGCCGGCAGACGCTTCCGACGAGCTCGAGGATGCGGCCCTGCTCGGCGTTGCAGCCCGCCGAGAACGAGACGGCCTCGAGCCGTGACCGGCAGTGTACTTGTAGGTGCAGTCGCGCTGCTGGTTCCTGAAGGTGCACCGCATACACACAGGCTGGCCATGGCCACAGGCGACCTTGCGACGGCGGCATGGATCGCAGGCCTGCGGCCGGCCGTTGGGCCGCCGGGGGAGAGTGTCGTACGGACGCATGCGCATCCGTCAGCGGCAAGCGAGTGAGTGACTTGGCTTTGAGTTGACCCCGCGAGAATCGCTCCGGGGCGTCGTCTCATCTTGGCGGGCCCATGGTGTCATTATGGCTGCCGGTGTGAGTCGGCTCGCCGATGCTGTCGGTGGTCGGCTTCGGCTCCAAGGGTTTTTGGTGGTGGTGGTTCCATGGTTCGGGCCCGGGAGCCTCGCCTTGTGGACGGGAGTCGCGCCCGTTCAGTGGGTATCCATTTGCGGGGCCGCATTACTGCAGGCGACCAGTACTCGAATGTCGGCAAGGTACCGAGCACCGGGCAGTACCTACCTGGGTACCCACCAATGTCCAAAGTGGCCCGCCCACGGCTTCGGTGTGGTTTCCCATTCGCCAATGGGGAGAGAGCCGCTCGGCTTCGGCTTCGGTGTCGGCTTGCGTGCTCCAGCCGCTGACAGAGCTCTCGCTGACATATTCGTGAATCTTGAGCCTCGCAGCACACACGAGCGAAATGGCTGGCCCAAGGGCGCACTCAAGTGGGCCACGAGGCGTTCATGGGCCAATGCGACTTACACGCGCGGCTCTCGAGCACGATGCGATTGGAAATGCCCACAGGGCGCGGCAGTGACTCAGCCTGGCCGTCGTGAATTTGGCGACGGGCAGGGTTTTGCTCGCAAGCCGAACCGAAGCCGACCGCGATGATGGTGGTGGTGATGATGATGGATGTCGCCGACAATGGCCTGTCATGCGCGACTGTCGGTCCATCTATTTAACTCGACCGCTCCTCCGGCCAACGAGACGGTTGAGGAAGCACGCAGCACAGCAGTCAACTCATAATAACAGCTATACATCAGCAAACAGAAACAACAATCATACACGCATCACAACCCGTGTGCACCTACCTCACAACTAAGCAAGCTGGATCCCACGCATCTCACCACCTCCCCTCTCTCCTCTCTCTTTGACCCTCTCAAGCTCAAGGACCCTCGACAACTCAGCCGCGTCAAAATGCCCTTCACGCTCGGCAAGAAGACCGTCATGGCCTCCGGCAAGCCTTATACGCACAAGACGGCGTCTGAGGCGACACTCGTCGACCACAGCAAGGCCGCTCCCGGCAGGCTGGACAGTGAGTGCTTCTGAGTGTCTCCTTCACTTGGGCCCGCCGGCTGACCCGTCCGCTGCAGAAGATATCAAGCCGGAGACGGGGTCTCGGGCTTCTAGGTCCAAGTCCTCCGGAAAGAACAAGGTGGACCATAGGCGGAATTGGGAAGCTCTGGCGTGTAAGTCGCCGACCTGCGCAGGACGTCAACGGGGCGAAGTGAACCTTGCTGACCGCAACGGGTACAGTCGCCGCTATGAACCGATGATCGGAACACCGGCAAACTTGTTACGACGATACGCAGCTGCCTTACTCCTTTGTCCACTATGGGCTTTTGTCCTTTCTCTCGCACCGGTGCCGGAGACGCTAGGCGCCACTTGGTTATTGCTGCTGTAATACGGAGTGATGTTCCTCCCGCAGTGTTGAATTTTGATGGTCTTTGTTTGCTGGCTTGTGAGAACGTCCGTCTGGGCCACCGGGTATATTAGACGCGAAGTTGCGGATCCGCTAGAGATACATTGCTTTCCAAAACCGCTTTAATTAATGCGTTGCTCAGGCAAACTCGCCCGGCGAATCGCTGAATGTGGTTATCTATGTGTGACGGTGAGGGGCCAAGCAACGTTTCTGTTCGGGTGGCCGGCTCCACGTGGGATGCTGAGTGCCTGTACGTATGTACATAATACTTTCTTGTACTTCCTTGTGGATCAGGCACGCACGACGGTTTCCAGGTACCTCGTACCTGCGAGGCCGTGGTGCGCCAGTACCCACTTGCTGCTTTGGGTACCGGGACAAGAAAAGCGCCCGCCGCCCCGATAAGATAAGACTGATCGATTGAGACCCAGAACAGAAAAAAAAAAGTTCACCGGCTGGCTGCGCGGTCCCCAAGGTTGGAGTCGTCCTTCGCCGTAGTGAAGCGACAAGATTTTGTTGCGCCATCCCGAGCCCCGAGTCGCTCTGCCTTAGGAGACTGCTCCCACAACTGATTCAGCGCAAGTCCGACGCCGCGTCACATCTCGCAGCACAGCGCCCACTGCGCCGTCGCCGTTCCCTGGCTCTCCCGCGAGTTCAATGGCGCCCACAATGGCGTCGCGCAAGCGGAAAGGATCCGACGCTGCGACCGTTTCCTCCCGCCTGAACGAGGATGGCTTCGACGGGGACCTACTCGAGGGCATCTTGTCCCAGAGTGACGACGATGCAGACGCGGGCGCATTCGAGGCCGACGACGTTGCCTCGTCCGCATCCGAAGACGATGAGAATGGCGTCTTCAGCGACGACGATGAAGATGAGGACGGCGGCAGCGCCGACGAGGAGGGGCTAAGCGGCGAAGATGACCACGGCGACATGGAAAAGCCCAATGAGCCCAATTATCGCATCTTGACCGACGCCAACGGCGGCGAGCGCTACGAGTACGACGAGATTGATCCCGTCTACGATAGCGATGACAGCGATGCCAAAGAGCCCGCAAATACGATTGGCAATATTCCCCTATCGTTCTACGACTCTTACCCACACATCGGGTACGACATCAACGGCAAGAAAATTATGCGCCCAGCCACGGGAGAGGCTCTCGATGCTCTCCTGGACAGTATCGAGTTGCCCAAGGGCTGGACCGGTCTTACTGATCCGCAGACGGGCGAGCCGCTCAACCTCACTCAGGACGAACTTGAGCTGCTGCGGCGCCTACAGATGGGAGAAGTCCCTGAGGATGGCTACGACCCATACCCGGTATGTTGCTCTCTAAATCAACTCCGCCCTCCGGGCCCCCCCGCGGGGG